CATCCATCTGACAATGTTGATTGTTATAAAGTAGACCTTACTAAAGCCATCCATCTGACAATGTTGGTTGTTATAAAGTAGACTCTATCTAAAGCCATCCATCTGACAATGTTGGTTGTTATAAAGTAGACTCTATCTAAAGCCACCCATCTGACAATGTTGGTTGTTATAAAGTACACTCTTACTAAAGCCAGCCATCTGACAATGTTGGCTGTTATAAAGTAGACTCTTACTAAATCCAGCCATCTGACAATGTTGGTTGTTTATAAAGTAGACTATTACTAAAGCCATCCAACTGATAATGTTGGTTGTTATAAAGTAGACTCTTACTAAAGCCATCCATCTGACAATATTGCTTGTTATAAAGTACACTCTTACTAAAGCCATTCATCTGACAATGTTGGTTGTTATAAAGTACACTCTTACTTAAGCCATCCATCTGACAATATTGGTTGTTATAAAGTAGACTCTTACTAAAGCCATCCATCTGACAATGTTGGTTGTTATAAAGTAGACTCTTACTAAAGCCATCCATCTGCCAATATTGGTTGTTATAAAGTAGACTCTTACTAAAGCCATCCATCTGATAATGTTGCCTGTTACAAAGTAGACTCTTATTAAAGCCGTCCATCTGACAAAGTTGGTTGTTGTAAAGTAGACTCTTTATAAAGCTATCCATCTGACAATGTTGGTTGTTATAAAGCAGACTCTTACTTAAGCCATCCATCTGACAATGTTGGTTGTAGAAACGATAGCCTGTAACTGAAGGCATAAAAACCATAGGCTGTGGCCAAATGCATCTGATAATGTTGGTTGTAGAAACGGAAGATTGTATCTGAAGGCATAAGCAACCATAGGCTGTGACCAAAGACATCTGATTATTTTGGTTGTAGAAAGAAACGATAGACTGTAACTGAATGTGACCGAAAGCATCTGATAATGTTGGTTGTAGAAACGATACATTGTAACTGAAGGCACAGAAACCATAGGCCGTGACCGAAGGTATCTGATAATGTTGGTTGTAGAAACGATAGACTGTAACTGAAGGCATAGAAACCATAGGCCGTGACCGAAGGCATCTGATAATGTTGGTTGTAGAAACGATAGACTGTAACTGAAGGCATAGAAACCATAGGCCGTGACCGAAGGTATCTGATAATGTTGGTTGTAGAAACGATAGACTGTAACTGAAGGCATAGAAACCATAGGCCGTGACCGAAGGCATCTGATAATGTTGGTTGTAGAAACGATACATTGTAACTGAAGGTACAGAAACCATAGACCATAACAGAAGGTATCTGATAATTTTGTTGTAAAAACGATAGACTGTAACTGAAGGCATAAAAGCCATAGGCGTGACCGAAGTCAGCTGATAATGTTGGTTATAGAAACGATAGACTGTAACTGAAGGCATAAAAACCATAGGCTGTGACCGAAGGCATCTGATAATGTTGGTTATAGAAACGATAGACTGTAACTGAAGGCATATAAACCATAGGCTGTGACCGAAGGCATCTGATAATTTTGGTTGTAGAAACGGTAGACTGTAACTGAAGGCATAGAAACCATAGGCTGTGACCGAAGGCATCTGATAATGTTGGTTGTAGAAACGATACATTGTAACTTAAGACACAGAAACCATAGACCGTGACCGAAGGCATCTGATAATGTTGGTTGTAGAAACGATAGATTGTAACTGAAGGCATAGAAACCATAGGATTTGACCATAGGCATCTGATAATGATGGTTATAGAAACGGTATATTGTTACTGAAGGCATAGAAACCATAGGCTGTGACCGAAAGCATCTGATAATGTTGGTTATAATAATGGTAGACTGTAACTTAAGGCATAAGCAACCATAGGCCGTGACCGAAGGCATTTGATAATGTTGGTTGTAGAAACGGTAGACTGTAACTGAAGGCATAGAAACCAAAGGCAGTGACTTAAGGCATCTGATAATGTTGGTTGTAGAAACGATAGACTGTAACTGAAGGCATAGAAACCAAAGGCTGTGACTGAAGGCATTTAATTTATAGGCTGTGACTTAAGGCATCTGATAATGTTGGTTGTAGAAACGATAGACTGTAACTGAAGGCATTTAATTTATAGGCTGTGACTGAAGGCATCTGATAATGTTGGTTGTAGAAACGATAGATTGTAACTGAAGGCACAGAAACCATAAGCCGTGACCGAAGTCATCTGAAAATGTTGGTTGCAGAAACGATAGACTGTAACTAAAGGTATAAAATATATAGGCTGTGACCGAAGGCATCTGATAATGTTGGTTGTAGAAACGATAGACTGTAACTGAAGGCATATAATTTATAGGCTGTGACCGAAGGCATCTGATAATGTTTATTATAGAAACGTTAGACTGTAACTGAAGGCATAAAAACCATAGGCGGTGACCGAAGGCATCTGATAATGTTTATTATAGAAACGTTAGACTGTAACTGAAGGCATAAAAACCATATGCGGTGACCGAAGGCATCTGATAATGTTGGTTGTAGAAACAATAGACTGTAACTGAAGGCATAAGAAACCATAGGCCGTGACCGAAGGCATCTGATAATGTTGGTTGTAGAAACGATAGACTGTAACTGAAGGCACAGAAACCATAGGCTGTGACCGAAGACATCTGATAATGTTGGTTGTAGAAACGATAGACTGTAACTGAAGGCACAGAAACCATAGGCCGTGACCGAAGGCATCTGATAATGTTGGTTGTAGAAACGATAGACTGGAACTGAAGGCACAGAAACCATAGGCCGTGACCGAAGGCATCTGATAATGTTTGGTTGTAGAAACGTTAGACTGTCACTAAAGGCAAAGAAACCATTAGCTCTGACCGAAGGCATCGGATAATGTTGGCTGTAGAAACGATAGACCGTAACTGAAGGCATAGAAACCATAGGCCGTGACCGAAGGCATCTGATAATGTTGGTTGTAGAAACGATACATTGTACCTGAAAGCACAGAAACCATAGGCCGTGACCGAAGGCATCTGACCATGTTGGTTGTAGAAACGGTAGACCGTAACTTAAGGCATAGAAACCGTGGCCGTGACCGAAGGCATCTGATAATGTTGGTTGTAGAAACGATAGACTGTAACTGAAGGCACAGAAACCATAGGCTGTTACCGAAGGCATCTGATAATGTTGGTTGTAGAAAACGGTAGACTGTTACTGAAGGCATAGAAACCTCAGGCCGTGACCGAAAGCATCTGATAATGTTGGTTGTAGAAACGATACATTGTAACTTAAGGCACAGAAACCATAGACCGTGACCGAAGGCATCTGATAATGTTGGTTATAGAAACGGTGGACTGTAACTGAAGGCACAGAAACCATAGGCCGTGACCGAAGGTATCTGATAATGTTGGTTGTGGAAACGGTAGACTGTAACTGAAGGCAAATAAACCATAAGCTGTGACCGAAGGTATCTGATAATGTTGGTTGTAGAAACGGTAGACTGTATCTGAAGGCGTAAGCAACCATAGGCAGTGACTGAAAGCATCTGGCCATGTTGGTTGTAGAAACGATAGACTGTAACTGAAGGCATAGAAACCATAGGCCGTGACCGAAGTCATCTGATAGTGTTGGTTGTAGAAACGGTACACTGTAACTGAAGGCATAGAAACCATAGGCCGTGACCGAAGGCATCTGATAATGTTGGTTGTAGAAACGATAGACTGTAACTGAAGGCACAGAAACCATAGGCCGTGACCGAAGGCATCTGATAATTTTGGTTATAGAAACGGTAGACTGTAACTGAAGGCATAGAAACCATAGGCCGTGACCGAAGGCATCTGAAAATGTTGGTTGTAGAAACGGTAGACTGTAACTGAAGGCATAGAAACCATAGGCCGTGACCGAAGTCATCTGATAATGTTGGTTGTAGGAACGGTACATTGTACATTGAAGTCATCTGTTAATGTTGGTTGTAGCAACACGGTATGTTACCATTACAGTTATGTGATGTCAAAGAAACTGTCTGTAATTAGGTTAATTGGATCACATTTTAGATGCGGACTTACTGCCGATGCCATGTGAAAATTTATAATGTAAGATTGTCACTGATGCCATTCGATATAATTATATGACTTGAATACTACTAAGAATTTACTCTGAGGTCAAGTGTAGCTTTAGATGTTGTCATTGTCTATTGTCTTGAGGGTATGAATAATAGATGATTGTAAAATAAACAATGAATTCAATTTTCGCTCTGCTTCGATGTTACAAAATTAATAGGACTTTCTTTTTGAATAATGGTAAAAAGTATCTATAATATTAATGTTGTTTTAAAGGCACCTGGTAGATATTTTTGATATTTCTTTTCCATGTTTTTTTATTTTATTCCGGAATTACAAAATAACGATGGTGATTAATTACCAGTTGTAAAGTAAGTTTTAAATAACATTGCAACTGGTATACTCAGGAACTATAGAACTGGCATGATGTCATGTGATTTCAGCAGTTTTGTCCATTAATCCCTGTTGTTTAAATACGTAAAATATATATACATATATCATGTAAATTGACAACTGGTAAACATATAACCCTTTTTGTTTTTATTACTGGCAAATTGTTTTACAGGTAAACATATAACCACCATGTTTGTTTGTCTATACATGTTAGGTATAAACATATTTGTTTATATCTATTACAATGTACTTGTAAAATGTAAACATATTATATAATTATACTAGTATTACAGGTAAACATATAAATCGTCGTGTTTGTTTATCTACTTATAACTGGTAAACATATAACCAAATTTGGTCAAATTTAGAAATCGTAAAAATATAACCGTAGGGTTTCTATTAAAACCTTGTAAACATATCACCACATGGTGATATAACACGGGGTATACGTGTATAATCACATCATGTATTTGCACGCAATGGAACAAGGACTATGTCAATACGCATGACAGTCTTTTTGTATTTGCTGATTATGAAATTCCGTTGCGGAAATATACGTTTTCGTTGTTAAGAGACGCTCTGACACACTCGCTATACAGTAATATTAGTTGTATTGGATTTTTACTGAAATATATTGTTGATAACCCGTGCTTCCAATGCAGCACAGAGAACGGACTTATCGATATAAGTTTGAGTATTGAGGTTTAACACAACATTAGCAAGTTTACAATGGTTTAATAAGCCTTACTGCCAAACAAAGAGAGATGTGCGACCACTGTCACATCATGTAAAAGTAGGAAGTTTTGTATTAATCCGAGAAGCAATGTCGTCTGCGCAGTTCATTTCTGCACGTGATGAAATGGCCATTGTTTAGGTAACGAAATTAAAGACACCGGAATTTATTGCAGAATAACATGTGAAGTAAAGCTACCTAAAAGATTTTTATTTTGATATCTGCGGAAAAATATCGATACGCAATTAACGTTTATGAATAAAAGCATGCATTCAGATTTGGATTTTATAGCCGCCTGTGCAAAATATAATGGATGTTCATAGAAAAGCATAAAAATGACCATGTAAAAATAGTGGACCCCTGGGCACGCATTTACCGACAATAACATTTTAATGATAATATACCGAACAAAAGCGTTTATGGAATTTTTGTACGACAACATTTGTAAAAGCAATAGAAAATTACCATTAAACCCGTGACTGCGCATGTGCAAACATATACGAGAGAAACGATTACAGTGGATAAATTGTGTAAAAGTGTGGATAATATTGTTCTCGGGCAGCTGTCACAATATAGTAGTTACTGAATACGGTACGCAAAATAATTATTGATTTACATCTATATATGTGTGCTTATTAAATTTTACCCAGAATGCATAGTTTCAATGTATGATTAAAATATATTTTAGATAAAAATTTAAACCAAATAATAACAGTATACAAACCTATCTGTTAACAAAAAAGTTTCTTGTCGTTTGGTAACAAAACAGATATACAGATGTAATTTGAATATACACTGTATACCATATGCCTTAAATTAAATTATTTTACCTGAGACGTATGTCCGGGTTATATACATGTATATACATATATATCGACAAGGTGTCATCCCCAGATCGAGTATGCATGTACATCTATATATAGCAGCTTTCACGAATCTGTACATTTGTCGTGCATTTGCAAAAGCTATAACAGCAAAAGGTTTTTTCGCAAATTCGTTTTCAATTCTATCCTTCGACCTTAGTAATAATTAATCTGTCTCTTTGTTTATTTCAATAATATAAATATGGAAATAATTACGGTGAAACAAACGGATATTTTAATATCAATATTGCATGCAATCAAATACACCCAGGCAGCGAAACTTAATTACTGTTTGAATTAAATACACATATTGGATGTTGACACAGTATTTTAGTCAATAACAGTTCATGCAATATGGTTATATTGTTGTACAAACACGCTGTGAATATTTGAAAATGAATGCATTTAGACTGAAACAATTACCACCGACAAATACAATACATGTATACATTATTTCATTTGAATTAGTATAAAAAATTGTACATGTAATCTAAGACTTATATTTAAGTTTGTGTTAACTTTTTATCATACACTTGGCCGAATCGGGATGCTATTTTCTGACATAAATATTAAATTAAAAAAATAGAAATTATAAGTTAATAATAAAATGCTATGAAGTTGGAATATTTGTAGATATTTGCTAAATGATACTATATCATTTTCTTTTCTCTTCGTTGCATACAAAACATTTTGGTTCGAAAGGTTAGGTCTTCACAAAGTTATTTCATTACTTAACGATTCAAATTTGTTCCTGATTTTTATTTAGTTCTAACAGTTGTGTACCATTACATACAAATATTTAAAATGAAGCAAGGTTAAATAATATTAAAAATAGATGGAGATCTTATATTTCTTTTTTTTTTAATTTTCAACATGCATTATTGCAAATAAATTCCGTCAATTATTTAGATAAATTTCAAGAAAGTAGCATGTTCTCATTCGAAGTTGATTTCACTATTTAACTTAAAGGTCTATATCCCAACTCCTATACGGTTCTACGACTATTAATAAACAAATAGAAAATATATGTAAGATAAGCTCAGATATACTATAATGTACTTATATGATATAGTCCGTCCGAGATACCATTTTGGGTTTATGTGGCTATGTTATCAATAGGAACAGTAAATTTTCTTTGATCCTATTCATTCCGTAAAGTTTTATGTGGCATTTTTGGTTTTATGTGACTTTTCAGAACAATTAAATAGTCACATGAAACCAAAATGTTCGTCCGTCCGTAATTCCAACACGTTTGTCCGAGCTAACTCAAAAAGTGTTTGAGATATCATCTTGAAACAGCAATAGTGGATAGATCATATTGAGGAGAAATGCAGTGGACAAGAATGATAACTCTACCCTGCATAATGTTTTAGTTATTCCCCTTTGTTGTTTTACATGTTTATTTTTTATCCGTAGCATAACAGAAACACTATTTGAGATATTAACTTTAAACGTTATAGGTGAATACATCTCAAGTGCACATATATGTCAATCGTGTCTTTCATAGTTTTTGAGTTATTGCCCCTAGTTATTTTTCATGTTTGATTTTTGTCTGGTTCATAACTCATAAAGTATGTGAGATATCAGCTTGAAACTTTATAGTTTAAAATGTTTATTGGGGAAGAGTGAACTGTTCACAATAAGTAGGAATGCAGTAATAAGGATGACAACTCTTCATCTCTATTTTTCTTCTAGATATCGGCCTTTGTTATTTTTCATGATTAATTTACAAGGACCATAACTCAAAAAGAATTTGAGATACCAACTTGTAACATAAAAGGTTACATATTTCATAAAGGGGGAGAGCAGAGCAAAAGAACAATGGCTCTTTACAACATTTTTTTCATATTTATATATTTCCAGGCTATATAATCCAAAACATATTCTAGTAGCAAAAATATCAGCGCGACACTTCATTGGATTTATCTTTGTACTTTGGGGGTCTTGATGTGTGTTGAAATAACAATGTGTGCGAATTGACTATCCTTTTATAGTAACTTTTCTTCGGCCCTGGGATTTTGGTGGTATGTGAGTGCTTCTTGTTACAGAACAGAACACTTCTTGTTACATAAGTGTTTTATACTGGCAATGGTAGTCGTACTGGTGCAATGCTGCAGTAGAAGAGCCAATACGACTGCCCAATGTCAAATAACTTAAACAATATAAAATCGCCTTAGCAATGATCATTTATAAATTAACAACATTGCTCAAACTAAATCTCTTCGTTGTAATGGGCATACTCTATAATATATGGATTTAACTCAATACAGGATTGGAGCAGTACCTCTAGACGCTTGCAAAATTCATGATCACAAAATAGACAAATATCGTTTTTTTCGCCGATTATTACATTTTTCATGCATTTACATACAAAAATCGGTGTGAAAAGATGAATTAGACCTTTTAAAGTTCATTCCGTTGAGTAAAAGGCAAGATTTTAGCATTTTATCATTCAAGCGCATTGTTCGGTATATACCGGAATACGGTATTTAGTGTGGTGCTCCAATCCTTTTTTTAGTCTCACTCATAATATATTGGCTTCAACTATTTATCGATACTAATCAATAAAGTAACAATTTTATATGTAAATAATTTAAACATTTTTAATGGAAGGTACAACTCTTCTCCAACTTGAAAATGCTGCTTTAAGTGAATCTTCTGGAATGAAATACGCAAAGAAAATATTAAATGAAGTTCAGCATGGTTAGAAACATCTCCAATGTTAAAATTTCGATGTCAGCAGAAACCGATTGTAGCCAATTAAATGCAGGTGTTCGTAGAGATGAGTTGTATCCTAACAAAAAAAATCAACAACAAAAAAAAAACAACAAAACAAAAAACACAAAGTATTTTAGACTGTAATGTCCGCCAAATTTGGTCAAACGAAAGGTCACAGGTGTTTTAACGCACATTGATTTTTTTACAGTATTATACCCGATCGATTTGGGTTTATTAAGCGCATTTTTACCTAGGAAATCCTTCATGAAAGATATATTTTATGCTTGAAATACAAAACCATGTTTATTGAAAGGCAGGGCAGGAGGAGCAAAAGTTATAATACAATTTTTTATTATATACTTATAAATGAAATATTGAGAAATATTGATGAAATAAAATGTTTATTTTTATTTTCCGTATTTTCACTGTAAAAAATTATTTTTCACCACCGTCTTGCCGGACTACATTCTTCTAAATTCAGTCAATATACAAAATTTAAGGGAAAGTCTCTCAAATTGTTGTGTCAAAACAAAAAATAAAGAAATGTATATAATAAACAGATAATTCAAGCTTTTTCTATAAATACAGGATTTATTTTCATCTTGTGGCATGAAAATTACCATATTTCACTCGTGGCTACCGCCACTCATGAAATATTTATTTTCATACCACCCGATGAAAATAAATCATGTATTTATAGAAAAAACTTGAATATCCTCTATCTAGTAAATTAATCCGTTATCTCAATTTGCATCACAAAAAAGACAATGGTACAATAAAAAAACATTAACAAAAACACGGTTTACTACAAGGAAATGTCTATTTTCCTAGTAAAATTGAATTTCAATAAATAGAAGAGCACACCACATATTTTATCTAAATAAAAGTACAGAACGTGCGTTTAAATTATAATCGGCTCGGAAAATAAAAGATCGATACTCAGCGTTCTAATAACAATTAAGAAAACGTTGCCCACTTCGTTATCATATTGCACACCTGCCTTATTTTGTTAAAGTTGCACATGCCAAAATAAACCAAAATATTTCAAGAAAATCAAAGTTGGAATAATGTTCTAATATTTTAAGAAAAAATAAATGATTTCAAGTGATAATTTACATTTTATGTGCGACTAAAGAGTGATTTTTTGCACTTTTTAATCACCATATTTCTACTGCGTGACGAACGCAATAAGGGCTATTTTTGCATATTTTGACCTCTTTTTTGTAATTTAGGTGGATTATAAGTGCCGATTGCATTGTTAAAAATTGTTTTCTTTGTTCACTTCAAAATATTTTACTTTTATTTACATGAAAATGTGCATGAATCTGGAGGCATGCTGCTTTAATGACGTAAGCGGTCAATGTAATGACGTCTCAAACAGAGTTGTTCTTTTCTTTTTTAAATATTATATTTCAAAGAAGAATAATTGAGTGTTTCCTTTTTGTAAAAGAAAGGTTCTGTTTTTTTAAAGATATCAAAGAATTTTAAGAATCATCAATGGTTTGCCGATGTAAATATGACGTCTTTGAACGTTTATTTATCAACTTTGACGTCATCTAACTTCAGCTATAATACTTGAATCATGAATTTGACAGGTTAAAATTATCGAACAAAAATAATCAACAATTACATTTCGAATTATAAATGTAAATTTTAATTATAAACTTTGATGTATTGAATATATCAAATAATAACTCAATGATCTGTTTTAATATTAAAAATGAATTACAAATGTACAGTTATAAACTTTGAAGTCGTTTTTATATTGTATCTGTGACAGAGATATCAAATTAATTGTTAAGCAAAAGTTTTGACGTATCTAGTATAATTTGCAAATTACCGAAATTTAGTTCACCTTTTTGAACCGTTAATTCCCCTCCCCATGTGTCCCTACGTCCGAATAATTCCCAAGGAGATAATCATAGCTAAAGATGCTCATTACAGGGGAGTTAAACTTTTCACAAATAGTTTCCCGACATGGTCAAATAATTTGTAATATTGTATTTATTC